TGAGAATCACTTATACAGACAGACTCTAAATGTGACTCTTGAAGTATCGCAGATCATCAGTCCCATCAGTCATTATGACTTTCACAACTCCAGTGTAGGTAAATGGGAATATAAAGCCCTCTTTCACACTGCTGAAGCGCTCAGAGCACTTTACTCACTTTCACCCAGTCACACAAGCACTTTTTTTAAAGCAAAGTCCTTTCTGTCTACTCCAGTTCATCCAAAGCTATGCTGTTAAAATTCTGCTCTAGAGTCGTAGCTGTTAGGTCAGGTCATAGGCACGAGGTCATAACCAAGTTAGACTGACTGTATTCCTTGGCTGACTCCTGCATACTGAACTTGTCCTACGAGTCCTACAATGCCCCCTCTACAACTAGTTCATGCATGAGTAGGATTAAGCAACGCTTGTGTGTGTGTGTGTGTGTGCGTGTGTGCGTGCGTGCGTGCGTGTCTCTGTGCGTGCAGTTATGGCAGAGCAGTTCTGAGTGTGTCCTCAGATGCCTCTGATGTGTCTAAGCAGTAGCTGCTGCAGTCTGTGTTGCCATATTTTGTCCTCATACTGAGGTCAGGCAACCCCCAGCAGCAGCAGCTCTTACGTAATGCAGAATTTAGCTTTCAATACACAAAGACTCCCACTTATTATTCTCGGGCAAAAGTCACACTTTGAGGTACGAGCCCTTACTGGGCAAAGGCACCCTCTTGTTTCATACTAGCTGAGGGATTTTGCTTTTGGAGGCTTGTTTTTTAGCAGCATTGATTGCTTACTGGACCTACAGCTGGATGGTGAAAGCAGTGCAGCAGTGCTGATGTGACCACCCTTAGAGATCAAGTGGTCCAAGACAACTGAGCTGAACTTCCAGCTGAAAGAACCGGAGTTAATCTGTTAGCATCAAGCACGTAACAAGCAAATCGTTTTTCTTTATGGAATCAGTGCCTGTTCAAACACTTTCAGCACAAAGGCTGTGCTAACAAATGGGAGTTCATTTCAAAGGTCGCCTCTTCTGGAGCCTCTTTAGCACACGGCTAAAACAAATCCAAGCCTTAACATTAACGAGTATGTGGGTTAAACTGCTGTTTTCCCAAACCCAAACATTAGCGCTAACAGGTGCATTTCCATTTCAGTTCAGATAGCCAAACAACCCTGCTGTCTTTACATAAAACTCATTGTTGCAGCCAGGTACAAAAGCGACCCCCTAAGACTTCCTCCTTAAATCCAGCTTCACAGAGTTACATATATGACAGTTTTTGAGTTAAATGATTAAATTAAACTCATACATTTACTGTTTTATGTCCACTTTAAAAAATAAGCCATACATGACAGCTTAGGCGTTACAAATGTAAGACTGGAACTGGAGTGGAACTGGTTTCCCCTCCTCTTTAAATCAATCCAGCACCTCACCGAATATAAATTTCAGTGTGAGCCGCATCCAGATGCTATGTGAAAGATGAAATGACTACATCTGAACAGGCGTTTGCAGAATCTTATGGTTCAGGAAAAGCAGGTTTGCAGTTATGATCTTCCACGTTTACATGAAAACATTGCTGCTTTCAGATGTGTCACACATTTGATCCATTTCACTTCCTTATTGGTTTGTTTTTTTAATTTAACAGATGCGGACACATTGGTTAACATTCAACTCTAGACAAATGTTAGAAAGCCAAAAGCTAGCCTGTTACCATCAAATGGTAAATGGACTGCTTCTTACATAGCGCTTTTCTACTCATCTGAGCACTCAAAGCGCTTCACACAACTTGTGCATTCACCCATTCACACCCATTCACACAAGCACATCTTTCTAAGTGCTTCATAGCTAACATTCACACACGTTCATACTCCGATGGATCCATCAGAGAGCAATTTGGGGTTAGTATCTGTGGTGATACCACAAGAAAAGTCTGCTAGCGCTAACACTTCTTTAAAAATAACACACAACAGAAGTTTTCAGAATCTGAGGTTCCCCAAAGTTTAAACTTTGCATTGCAAAGTTAGCAATGCTCAAACAAAATCAGCCAGCAGAGCTCAGTGTTGCCCTCTAGGGAGACGGTTAAAGGTCAAGCAGTCATGATGAGTGTTGATGCTGTGTTGACGCGTCCTATTGCGCACTGACTCGCCTGCTAGGAGCTGTTCAAATTGGCGCACACACTTACCTGCACTCACTTGTGCTGCTTCACAGTCGGTCTTCGTCCCTCTTTCAGGCTGAGCAGTTCACCATCGGTACATTAAACACAACAGCACAAATCCAGCATGAAATTTTCCCCCGCGGACTGAGCTGAACTACTCAAAATTTGTCTAAGCTAAAAGACCTGAGGTGCAAAAACATTCACCAAGCCCAGACCCCATTGTTTCACACAAAAGTGAACACTTAAGTGCAAATTTCAGCCCCGTGGACGCTGTATCTGGTGTGATGCAGACAGTATGTGCAGACGACTTCAGAGTGGATTAAAAGACTAATATTGAAATGAAACTTTCTGCAGATATCTGTGAACGTGCCAAGATCGGTACAAGGAAATGAGGCATGAGCGATCAGCATGTTGTAGGCAGAAGTAATTACATTGTAAGTCATTTTAAGTAGCACGCTCTTCATTTTAAATTAGCAGGTATTTTACAGGAAAGGAGACCAAAAATATAGTGTAAGTGGTTTAAAGTTTGCAGAACAAGAATCAATATTTCCCATCTTCATTGTAAGTAGTTGGACAGCTGGCAGTATTATGGAGTGGCTTAACTTTGACTAACTTCCTGGTATTTTACTGGAAAGGATGTGCTGCTTTCCAAAGTTCTGGTAGTTGAAAGAGGAGAACAGTCACATTCATATTGGTAACATAAAAGAACAATTGAATACTAGAACATCCAGCCATCATGCACATCAGCATAATTGATGTTAAATAAAACAAAGATCCAAAAAGGCAAGTTTAACCCAGAGGCTTTGGGAACATGAGAGTCCTGTTAGCCTTCAGGATTCAGCGTCTTTACAACACATTCGTACTCCTGAAGCGTAACACGCTACGCCATGTGACAAATCGCTGGTATGTTACGCTTTCCGGTCACCCACCAACACATTCGGAAACAGGAGGAAACATGAGAACCGTTTGGACTAAATCTACACATGCACATTTATTTTCCTCTCATCATGAATCACTCTGGAAAACTCTAACACCATTAAGAGTGTGGTGAAGGTTGGCAATGGTCTCGTGGGTCACTTAGCCTTCAGATAGTCCCAGCAAGTCTTTAGCAGGCAGTTAGTGTCTGCTGATGACGTGCAGACTTTTAAAAATGCATCTCTGACTGTGCTGCCACAGCTAGCATATGTCGCTAACTCCACGAGCCGCCAGTGCTGCATGAACATAGAAAAATAAATGTTCCGTGGTGTGATTGGACTAGTGGGCGGTATTATGAACTGTTCCCAATGTACCTGTGCAATTTATGTAGAAGTAATTTGTTTCATTCTTTTCTTTTTTACAGTTATTATATGGGTGGGTGTAAGGTCGATGCTGGATTGTGGAGCGCTGTAACCCCACATGTAGTAACAGCTCTGACTGGAAGTGAAGCAAGGTCATACGAAGCGTGCAGCGACCACGGTTACAAAGGCTTCTGACTGATTGGTTCTGGCTGCTAGTACAACTTCTACTGTTGCCTTACAGATGTTTTCTTTGAGTGATGGGTGCCCAGCAGACAGTATGGTGTTTCTAATAATAGCACAGAAGCAGAGCGAATTGAAAATATTTGAAATATCTTCCTAATCTTCTTTATCGAGTGGTGGTTCGTGTACAGATTAAGGAGCAAGGTTCCATACTGTGCACTTCAGGCTCCGCTCCTGCTGGTTTCAGCACCTTGGACAGAACCATAGCAGTAGAAATATGTGCTTGATTGTATGTAGCCTGTGATCTCATTGGGGAGACAGAGGGACCGACCCAATCCAGCCTGAGCTCGAGCACCAGTGTTTTTGAGCGAGTGGTGACCCTGCCGACGGAGTGTTTTCTGCCTCCTGTCGAGACAGACGATGCGCACCCCACCACGGCCCCGTGCACGTCTGATATATGAAAGCTTTTTTGACTTTGGGTGGCGTCCTGTCTGTTCGCCTCACTGTCACCCTCTGTGGACACAGCTAGGAGAGGGTTGCCAACGGTGTATCCCTCCTTCTCTCCGCAGCTACTCCCCTCCCTCCATTACTCCCCTTCCTCAGTCCCTTCCCATTTCTTCTATTGCTTGCTCTGTTTGTCTGCTCTTTTACGCTCGCTCATCCTAGAAATCCTCTTTTCTGCTTTTCTTATCTCTTCTCACTGAAACGTCTGATCAATTCCTCTCTGTGTCCTCGCTGACACCAGCCTGCCTTTCCCTCCTCGTCCTCATTCCGCAGACTCTTTCCGTTTTAACCTCTTGCACCCTAACAGTCAGTTGGAGGTCTGGGACTTGTTGGACAAGAGCTGAAGCATGATTACAGGGTTAGAGAGGAAAGGAGAGGGCTGTGCGAAGTCAGGCAGTGTGAGGGGAGGCGCTAGCTGGCGGGGCCTGGGACCTGAACTAGACAGACAGTAAAACGTCACCACGCCAAAGCCAGACTCCCCGACTGTGATCGCGTGTGTGTGTCTGTGTGTTTGTGTCCCTGTGTGTGGTGATTTTGCGTGTGCATGTGTGTATGTGTGACTGGGGGTTCACAGTGTTAGTAGCTCACAGCCAGCTGAGGCTGCAGTGGAGACAGACAGAGGCACTGAGCAGCACATAGCAAACACCACTGATTGTTGGTTGTGTAGCACTGGGATATCTGCTTTTGGAGGAAATTTAGCAGGTGAGAGTACAGTTGTGTGTCTGTGTGCGTCTTTCTTTCGTGCAACAGAACCCTCCGTGCAACTGTGTATATTTTGGCAATGCCTGTTGTATTTGTGTAATGTGTATGCCAGCATGTTTGTGTGATTTTGGTAGCCTTGTGTCATTAAAATGAAGACATCAGCATGATCACCGAGGCGAGTGAACTAACATCCAGTCATCTGTGTTGCGGCTGCAGGTAGTAAACTGACCTCGGGGGAACAGACGGCAGCGTCGCACCCGGAGCCGCAGGGGGAGGTGTGGCCACACTCGCTTGACCAGCAGCAGGCCTTGGCTTCAGACTTCTTATCAGGTACAGAGTTTAGTGGCTCCACAGTATCGTCCTTTCATCTTAACTTGTTAACACTGATTCACGACATCGTTTGGACCTTCTGTGGTCACAGTGGGACATTTTCAGGAAATGATGTCGTTTTTGACCAGAAAAACTGGACTGGACCAGTGCTCGAGTCTGACTTTGTAGCTTCCAAACCAGTGACTGCCCCATATCCAAACCATCTCAAGGTTTTCTGTCTCAGAATTAGCTCTAGATAGACTTTGGGCATCACATATACACACAAAGCAAGTGTATCACTAACTGGAAGCATGATGTCCAGGGAGGATTTAAGAAAACTGACATTGAATATCTGTCTAAATATTTATATATGAATTGTTGATTAAAATGTTTGCATCAGTCGTTCTCTGTGATTTCCAAAAAGCTTCTCACGCTGGCTGCTCCTCGCCTGGGCGCGTCTTAAAGGCGCTCGGGCCCAGAGAAGCAGCGCAGTTGGAGCTTCACGTTACTTTGCTTTGCATGGTGGAGCAGCCTCAGAGTGTAGCCACCACGTTTCCAAACCCATGCAGCTTATTCACTAATGGTTTTTGTCTTTGTCCAGTGTAGATACAAATTATGTGCATTACATGGTAAAAACCCAAATTATTGTCTAAATGTAGTTTAAATGTATCGTTTTAAAGTAAAGATTGAGCGGCTCAGCCTCTTTGGGCCACTCCTCTGACTCCCACTCGTGTTTCTGTGTAAAGTATTTCTAGCATCATTCCAACACAGAGCAACATAGACTGTATATAGAGTATAAATAATGATTTGTGTCTGCTCTCCTCTTTGCTGTCTGCCCTCACGTCACACCTTTTGAATCGTTAATGCCGTCACGCCCAGCGGCGCCTCCACTCAGTCGACTTCTCTTCTATATATTTGCCTGCGTCTCATTGCTCTCTCTCTTCTCTTGTCTTCACCTTTTCCATTGCTCCCTCCTTCCCTGCTGCCAGTCTCCGTGGCAACTTATTCTAATCCTCTGGGCTTTCAGACCAGCCCCGCACAAAAGATGGATGCTAACCTGATGGGAGCGTTTTCAGGTATCCTCCCAATATTTCCTTCTAACAGAATCACAGATGTGAGTGCTGCTGTAACAGCAGTGCTGAGATATTAACTGTGTGTGTGTGTGTGTGTGTGTGTGTGTGTGTGTGTGTGTGTGTGTGTGTGTGTGTGTGTGTGTGTGTGTGTGTGTGTGATATGTAATTGAATGATGCTTATCATTACTCAGCAACACTGTCTGATGGGGTCTGTGTCACTACAGAGTCTCCTACTTACAAACACAGGGCTCGCTCATGCATGGAGAGCCTGCTACACATGATGAAGTGCTGCGTTGTGTCTGCAGCTTTGATATTGTCATATTTCAGAATATGAACACTGTAATTATCTATTGTGTATATTTGAAGTAAGGGCTTTGTATCCTGTGTGCATATGTGGGTTATTGTGTTAACCTCAGAGCAGCCGAGTAGCACTGAAGTCATGAAGTTGAGCATCATGCACTCCTGACCTCTCTGTGCAGAGACTGTCAGTTAGCTCCTTTCTTCAGAGCCAGGTCCATTTTTATCTTTCCGTCACAGAAGACACATTTGAGATCAACATTTTCATTCTCATGACCATTTATTGTGCGGAGCTTTCTCCGGTCATGGGCGGCTACTCCAGTGTTTACTCTGGTGTTGCTCCAGTTTAAGTCGTTCCTCCTTTTGCTTTCCAGGCTTCATCTGCATTTTGCACTACTCTGTGTGACTAATTATCATGTATGTGTGTGCTATTATTAAATATGTGTTCTGGGCTAAAGTCACTGTCTTCACATGCTGTTGATGGCTTCTTAAAATTTTGGCGGTACAGTAGCTGCAGCATCATATCGTAAGTATCTGTATTTCTAGCCTTTCACAGCTGACGGCTGAGCGGGCGACACGATAACTCAAGCAGGAAGTCTCAAATTGATCCCATATTAAAATGGATGCGTTGGGATCACAGTGATTTTCCTTGTGTTTGAGCCTTTCCTTCTTTGGCTTTGCTAACACGTTCTCACAGTGAGCGCTCTGTTTAGCTTCACATTAAACTCAAACACTCTTTGATATGATTTGGATTTCATAGTTGAATCGATTACTACCAAAGCAAAGTCCCTGAGGCAGCAACCAGCCTGAGCGCTGACATTTCCAGCACCCTGCTGCAGTCAGTAAGAGACGTTTGAATAGCTGCATTTGGTCTTTTGCTGTTTCTCAGTGGAAGAAGTTGTAAAACTTACAGTTAACAAGTCCAACATTTGGAGTCTTTGTTGGTCAGTGTTGGACACCACTGGTGAGCTGACTTGTATTTTTACCTGTTTTGTTGGTGTATTTGATTTCGGCATTGTATGCTGAAAGAAAAACAAAAACATTTTGAGGGAGCGGACTCAAGCACGTGACTTTCATTTATATATATATTTCCATTATTATAATGTCAGTGCTGAAGCTCTGCCTGCCAGAACAATCGCTGTGCTCAGTTTCTGCAAACATACCTTAGCCTTCATCACTGTGGATGATTACAGCTCATTATTTCCTTCCTCATTAAAAATGCGACTTCCAACCAGGAACTTTGCCCCAGAATAGCCAATAGTTGTCCACGCTGACGAATTGCATTTGTGGACGTGACCCTTGTTGGTTGCATGCAGAGCTTTAGCCGTCACTGGCTTGGTATCTGCTGGTAGTTTGCAGAGTGACACACACTCACAGTGTGAGCTATAAGGCTGAGTTATGCCTTTCACCATGCCAGCCTCTGCAGAGCCAGCTCTCATTGTTGTCTTAATGAGACCTGTCGTCTCTGGGCCACCAAAACACCCTGCAGGCTTGGACACACACACACACACACACACACACACACACACACACACACACACACACACACACTCTGACCTATACAAGTACAGCTGACACGTGCATCAGTTTGGGACTCATGCAGGTGAAGAGTCTCGTTCATTGTTGCGACCACGTTCATGACCTCATCTCTCACACATGCTGTGTATGTTCAGGCCCCTCCCCTCTACGAGCGTATTCAGAGCTGTAATGTTGACTGCATTCAGGTTGTATGTGGTGTTTTCTTTGACCTTCTTACTGTTTCTTCCTCTTCTCTTCATGTCACAGTGAGTAATGCTGTCGGTGCAAAGAGAAGGTTTACCTGTTTGTCTGCTTTCTTGTGCCTCAGGTTTCTCCCAGCCTGGAGGGATTGGGATGAACGTGGAGGTGGGAGCTGCACCCCTTCAAGCAGAAAAGCCTCCAAGTATTGCAGATCCTGAGATTCTCACACCTCCAGCAGGATCAGTCGCCCCTAAGGAGCACAGCCCCATGCTGCCCGAACCACAAGCTCCTCGCAGCCCTTTGGATGTATCAGCAGGTAAGACTCACGCATTGAACTCACACGCCACAGTGTTTTTCTTCAACGCCAGTTTTGGTTTTTTAATCTAAACTAAAGCACAAGGTAACTTTAGTTTCAGCTTCTCCAAATAGCTTGTCTACGGATCAGCACCTTTGCATTTCCTGTGCATTTAAAATTCGCTCAAACTGTGTCGATTTTTCTTGTTTTCCCTTAAATTAAGTCAAAACTTGAAGTGAGAACAGATTAAGAGTATTGTTGCATGTGTGTTGCGGCTGAAACCGTGTATTTGATTGACTTTGAGTTTTAATTTTGAAGATGGAAAATGTTTTAAGGATCACGTGGTTTGGTTTGAATACTCATAAATGGCTTGTAGCAAAGGGAACCTTGGCACTCTCACCTGAAATAATTTTTGAAACACACATACTTGAATGATGTGGACAAAAACACAATTGGAAATGAACTGACCAAATCAGTGAACTATTGAACCTTTAGTGTCTAAGAGCATGTCCTCATAATGTAGGTGTGTGTGTATCTTCTTCCAATCCCTGCACCACAATAACTGCTCAGTTTGGAAGCAGTGTTTCCTGTTATGCTTGCTCGTCACTCGTGCTGTACATGTTGGTGTAGCTGCAGAAAGGAGGTCAGTGTGCAGGTCAGTGATCTCTGTGTTGCACAAAGACACGCTCAGCTGTCTGTGTCCTTCACTGTCCACACTTTACGACTTTGGACCGGCCGATCGCAGACTCTGCTGCTCTCCAGTTCAGTGTGCGTGCATCCTAGAGAAGCAGAGTCTTACTTGTTGTCTTGCTGTGGCTTGTGTCGCTTGACAGAGCTGTGCTAAAATGCACAAAAGCGTCACAGCAGCCGAGGCACCTGTAACTGCAGGTGGTCGGCTGTTAATCAGTCTGCAGAGTCATGCACCCATTAGACGCCCTTTTAGATCAGCTAACAGGGCTTGTTCTTCTCAGACCCCAAAATTGAAGGTTTATGTATGCCAGGAAAAGCTACAGGAGTGAAAACAAATGTGATGTACTGCACACACAGAGGCTATGTTTAAGAATGTCTGTCATTCCTGAAACGTTTGTGTTCAGCCCCTTGAATTAAAGCTAGACGTCTGCAGTCAGATTGTTTTAAAGTTCACTGTGGTGAATCCAGACACAAAGCTACAAAAAAGGTCATTGTCCAAAACTTTATGGATCTAACTGTAAATTCCCAAACAGTCTCCAATAGCAGGAGCAGGAAACAAACACTAAGCGTGGGTAAAAATCCTGAAGGATCAGCAAAATTCCTAGTAAGGAAAAGTCTTACATTGGGCAGGAGAAGCATAATGCAGTGTCGTTTCTTTGCTGTCTCAGCTCCATGTAGATTTATAGGCTGAACCTTTAAATCTAGTAGAACCCCAACGATGTGTGTCTGCAGTCTTCTGATACTGAGGCTTGATCTCAGAGTATCCAGCCACACACATACTGTCTTCAAACTACAGGTTCTTTCTCCAAACACTCACTCAGATTGTGTCAGTCACAGTGTAGTTAATGCAGACGAGTCACATAATAATAATATTAATAATAATAAAATATTCCTGAATAACATCAGTATTGTTTTCTTAATTGTCATTATTGACAAATGTTTTTGGATAATTGTAAAAAATAAATTCGAGTCAGAAACAAAACCAACAAACAGGCTCCTAAAGAGGAAGGAGGAGCCTATTGATCACGTGCCTCATCACATGAGGTGTGGAAAAAGGGGCGTGGTCATTATCAGCAGAGGTTCCAGTGAAAACATTGTAAGAACTTGCCTCACCCTATCATGTGACCTACTCAGATCACCTGGCACAAGATGTGAGTGGGCGTTAAGGCATCTGGGACAAGATCATCGATGTTGTGGGGTCCTGATTACTCCAGGTTTGTGTTTCAGAGGGTGGTGGGAGTCAAAGAGGAGGTACTGGTCCGTGTGTGTGGGGGCTTCAGGTAAACTTCAGTGCTGAGGTTTCTATTCACCTCAGTGTCCATCCATCTTCCTCCACTTTGGTCTTAGAACCGAAGAAGCTTCTCTTATTGGAGGTGAAAAGTCTTCAAGATAAAGTCCAGCCGCTTTTCTACAGCTGCCCATTGAAGTGTGTGTTTTATGTCTGCCTGTGAAGCACTCGGGAACACAGAGTGACTCAACTTTGCAGCAAACCCTAGCCCCCTCCCTCTTCAAGATCCAGACTGCACATGCTTGAACCTTCGTCTGACTGCCATGACACCAACTGACAGCCCACAGTGCAACAACAAACTGCACTGAGCAGATGTAACCATGTACAAATAATAATCTAATAATAATAATCATTCTGGCCCAGTAGACATTTGTACTCCAGAGATATCCTGAGTCATCATTAAAATACAAAATATCCAAAAAGGCTAAGAAACTGTATGTTAAATACTTTTGTAAGATAATACTTCTGACTTTGCAGCTGCCATTATTGACAAAATGAAGATATATTAGAAAGTACAGAAGAAACTGGGTATGACATCTTAGAGAGTTCTAGAAATCCTCAGTAAATGAAAGCCAGGATCTGCAACATGAAACTGCTGTGAGATAATGACACATCAGTCCATTTGAAAGTTTTTTAGAGTCCCTTATTTGGATGGAGCGGTAGGGTGTCAGCTAAAATTAGCAAACCTTTCTGTTGATCTGCATCCATAAACTGTATGATGACCACTTTGAAAACAAAACAAACAAACGATAGAATAAAAAAAACATACACGAATACAGTGGAAGCCCAGATGTCCCAGTTTCCCGCTGGGATTTGAATCTGGCAGCATGAAATTTGTCTTAAAGCTCCATGTGGGCATGCCACGTGATCTGTGTCTACAGTGGCTCGCAAAAGTATTCGGCCCCCTTGAACTTTCCCACATTCTGTCACATTACAGCCACAAACATGAATCAGTTTTATTGGAATTCCAGGTGAAAGACCAACACAAAGTGGTGCACACGTGAGAAGTGGAACGAAAACCATACGATTCCAAGCATGTTTTACAAATAAATAACTGCAAAGTGGGGTGTGTGTAATTATTCAGCCCCCTGAGTCAATACTTTGTAGAACCAGCTTTTGCTGCAGTTCCAGCTGCCAGTCTTTTAGGGTCTGTCTCTACCAGCTTTGCACATCTACATTCTTCTTTGAAACAGCTCCAGCTCAGTCAGATTAGATGGACAGCGTTTGTGAACAGCAGTTTTCAGATCTTGCCACAGATTCTGGATTGGATTTAGATCTGGACTTTGACTGGATTTTCGCTCCACTTCCAATAATTCCATTGGAATTGGAATTCCAATAAAACTGATTCATGTTTGTGGCTGTACTGTGACAAAATGTGGGAAAGTTCAAGGGGGCCGAATACTTTTGCATTCACTGTATTTCTTTTGTAAGTGGTAGGTTTGTTTTGAACAAGAACGTTTTCCAATGTGTGAAGCCAAACTTAAGAAGTGGTGCGTGCTATTTATTCGGGTTTGGAGGTACACATTTGTAAAATCTTGGGTGAGGATCGCAGTCACATTATATTTGTAAATCTTACTGTATGCTTGTTGATTCGTAACCCCAGTTTCACTTCATATTTTATTCTCTGAGATTTCATTTCACTTTTTAATACAGGCCATATTCACACACAGTCATTTTAACTCTTTGACTTGAAGTTCTTGCAAACTATTGCACACACACACACGACCCTGAAGGATGCATCAGGGTCGTTTAGTTCAGCATCTTGTCAAAAGACATGTGGACATGCGTCCTGGAGGAGGTGGGGATCAAACCACTGACCTTTTAATTACTCGATGAGCTGTTTGAGTCACGGCTGCCACTTTTGTACCAATCATGCTCATTTCATATCTGAAGTCTGACATCATGAGCATTTTGGAGCCAGCCTAAACTGGCCGTTGGACAAATTGTAGTTTCTGGCAGTTCCGCGTTGGCGTTTCAGCCCTGGAAGTTTACACTGAGATAAGCAATGCTGTTCGCTTCACATATAAGTGTTTTAAATGTTGTGGCTGATATGTGCATGTTGGTACTGCCGGTCAGGAACATTTACAGTTTTTGTAACGTTATCCCACTGTGACAATCACGGTAACAAACTCCATCTGTAGTCCTTTAGAAAACATCCAGAATAACGAGCCTTTGCACCACAAACACTGCAGTACTTTCATTTGATGTGTTTCTGCTTCCCCTAATACATACAGAGCACAGTTGTGTCATGTGTTTGTTAATATGAAAAATGGTCCTCCAGAGAGCTGCTGTACTGTACTGTGTGGGTCCTGACAGCTGCTCCACTTTAGCTGTTCTTCTTCAGCTGTGTACCTTTATGTATATACCTGAGATCTAGGAACAAACTGGGCCACCCCTCCTCTCAGCGGACGATGTCCCCGCTGCTCTTGTTAGCACTCCTGTATCTTGCATTCGCCATCCTATCTTTACCGTCTCCCTTCTAGACTGAAATCAGGTTGACTACTGCCATCCATTATAAATGCCCTCTATTACTGAAGCAATGTTAAACTGTGGCACAAAACTAATGGAGTCTGCTTTAGTTACAGTAAAGTGACCTGTGCTTGACCTCCTTTCTGTGGGACCATTAAGCATTCTTCTTGATATTTTTTCCACGTCTTTCTGTGTCTATCATTGTGTGCATGTTGGGCACTTCACTCTAGGTACTACATACTTACATGCACACATTCTCATGTGCCTGCACAAAGCTATGTCGTTTGCTACTAGCTTAATTGTGAGTGTACACAATGTACTTGTCCTCAAGGCTGCTCTGAGTCAGTCGCCCAAAATTAGCCTATTGTCTCCATCCTTTAAGTTGCTCATATATGTGTGTGTGTGTGTGTGTGTGTGTGTGTGTGTGTGTGTGTGTGTGTGTGTGTGTGTGTGTGTGTGTGTGTGTGTGTGTGTGTGTGTGTTTAATTGTCACTATCCATTTGCTCAGTCAGTATTACATTAGAAGAAATCTTCAGACTATCACGGCTTGGTTTGGATTACTTTATCCGCTCTGTGTTAAAGTTGTATTATTTCCATTTGTAGCTGATTCTTAGACTCTTCATTAATCCTTCACTGGGCCTCTGTGCAGCTCCACATTTCAACCATTGTCTGAAACAAGTTTGACTGTTTAATTCCCCTCCTCTCCTTTAAATCCAACTTTATTCTGGTTGGCTGCCCCTCACAAGCACAAACTTTAACCAGCTGCTGGGCGGAGCCTGTGTGCTGATATGTGTGTCTGCCATGACCGTATAAAGACTATTTCCAATCACTGACATTATAAAGAAACAACTGTGTGAAACTGAGCATTTGGACTAGTCTGAAACCTTTTTATTTTCTGATTACTTCCAAATAAGCTGAGCTTATTATTTGAAACATAATATTGCCAATATGACCACTGTAAGTAAGTAGATCCTCTTAAAGAATATGAGAACATGCACACTTTCTTCACTAAAGGGCAACAGAAATGAGGCTCTAAATGTTACGCTGTTTGTGTAATCAGTATCCCAGTTATCTTGTGATTTATTTGCCTCTGTGTGATATTTATCTGTCCGTTTTGGTGCATGCTCAATCATCCAGGTAAGGAAATCCCAAAAAGTTGATTCTGTTCATCTGGACGTTTTCCGTGGGAGAAACGTTTCATCCAGTTCACTTCTTCTTCAGCTGAATCCAGATTTCCACTACATTTATGAACAGTACAAACTAGCACCACTGAATGAACAATGGGCTGTGAGGTCAGCTTCGTGATCATTAGTATGAAAATTGTCATGACCATTGATCAACAACCATTGATCAAAGACCACTGATCAATGGCCATGAGTACCTCATACTCCTCGGTTCAGAGATGGTCTTTGCTTTTTCACGTAAATGGCCTCCTTGACCCCCGATTCAAACCAACCCTGAATCAACTTTTTGGGCTTTCTCTGTATTGTTTGTTTTAGACTAAGGGAAAAAAGTTAATATGCACATATCTATCTTTACCTACCTTAAACTATGCCCTCTTCACCCACAACAAGGTGCCTTAGGCTGGCCAGACCAGGCTGGCTGCCTGTCGACAGACCTCCCTTTTACTCCAAGTGTCACCACAGTGATTGCTCGACATGCCAGCCATCTTGCAGCCAGCCCTGAGGACCCACCTGACAGTTGGCCTAGCCGTGAGAGCGCTGCCTATGCTGGAGGCGACGAAAGGGACAGGGATGGATCAGACCGAAAACAAAAGAAGAAGAAGAAAAGACGACAGAAAGATGAGGGATCCTACGAACAACTGGAGAGCAAGGGCCACCCTGAGATGCAAGCACTGGGAGAAAGCACCCGACCAACAGAGGAGTTCTATCATAGGATTGGCCCAAGGAGGGATAAAGCAGAGGGTGGTTGGGAGGAGCAACTTGGGAAGAGTGGAGGCCCAGGGAAGAAGGGGAAGAGCAGGAAGAAGCTTCCAGAGGAGTGGGGAGTGGCAGAACCATTTGTTCCTTCATCTGCTGTGACCTCTAACATTACAGAGGAGGACATGATGGATCTTGGGAGTTCAACTCTGGACAACCTTGAGGCCTACTTGGCAGATGAAGATTCAAGCCAGAGCCCCTGGAAAAAGGAGGTCTACCCAGATGAAGGCTTGGTATCTTCCCCTCTGTCTCAGGATCTTTTCTCCCCAGGAGCTGCTCCCATTAGCCCACTGGTCCTGAACAGTGAGCTGAAAGCCACAGCAGCTCCGTTTACTATGCCCTCTACCACCAACGGCAAATCACTCGGTTCCTTCCCTGTGGCCCCTCCATGTTGTGACCCATTTGATCTCTTGATGGAAACCGAAAATGCAAGTCTGGGCAACAGCAAAGAGGCTATTTCACCACCCTTTTCTCCAGAGAATGAAGCAGCAGTTGGTAATCTGGTAGACAGCGGCATGTTTGACAACAGCAGTTCTCTCCAGGAATGTTGTGAGCAAGCCACGCCTGAGGCAGACACCTCAGCCTTCAGCCCTGCCACCCAGCCAAGCCCAAATTGTTCCCCTGAAGGTGAGGTGTTAGCCTCAGCACCACCTCTCTCGCCGTCTGATGCTTCATGGGTTCTGAACAGCTCAAATATGAGCAGCAACAGCGATTTATTTAATTTTGCTGACATGGGTGCGCTAGGTCATCCTTTACCCTTAGGCCTAAACTTCGACACCCCAAGCCCAGCACCTCTCCGTTCCCCAAAAACTACGGCACAGGAATTCCAAGCCAGAGAGCTCAAAGAAGGCAAATCATCCCCAAAACAATCCAAGAAACCACGCTCTTCATCTTCTTCATCCTCTGTTAAGAGTCCAACCTCCCCAGAAGCTAAAAGGTTCTCTCCAATGGCATCGCCTGTCACCAGCCCCTCTTCCCCTCCATCGGTCCCCCCTCTGGCAGTTCCAGGATCTGGTCTTAATCCTGCAGCTAAGCCCTTCTTTCCCAGCTTTGCTGATCCCATGGAAGAACCAGCTGTGGCCAATCAAGATGTTCCTCTCGTTGAAGGTTGGTTGTAGTCACCCCTGGACAACGTAGAAATACATAAAGTAACTAAAACATGTAGACAAATGGTTGCCATGCATGTTGCAATCCAGCTTGGGTACTTCCCATATTTGAAACTGACGTCCGATAGATCTTGAGCAGAACTGATTGCTTGGGTGTATTATATTCATCAAGGGTTATGTCAATCATTACACCCATTCGTTCTGTTTTCTTGCATGGATACATTTGTCTAAAGACTTGGCTGAGGCTTGCTGGCTGTTTTTGAGTGACTAACGCATGGATTGAAGTGTTGACCAACAGGGCTGTGGATTGCCTTGACTCTAAAGGGATGTTTGGGTTTCATTGCAGTGGGATCGTATAAGGTATTAATCAGTACTCGAAGCCAAACGGTCAGTGTAACTGTAAGCTATATTTAGAGTGTTTTCAGGACTCAACACTACTACCAGACACAAGTTTCCTGAAGCCATCACCTCTCTATCTTAACAGCAATAAGTACTTTGACAAAGACAGCACTGTTACCTTGCAGAAGACAGAGTTGCTCATTTAGCAGGGCCTCATCTTTGATGTTTTAAACACCTACAGTACGTATACGCTTTGCATCTCCTAACTGGGAAGAAGCTGAATATAATACACTGAGTACGAATCAGCACCTTATACAGAACTACTTAAAAGAAACTGAAACATCCCTTTTATCTGTAGTATCCTGTTCCCAATGATGCACTGCTGAGATGTTCTCATGACTAACAGTGTTGCTGTTGACAGGTGTGACACTACTAACCATTCACAGTCTTCCTTCCTAGCAGCACCAGTAGGTATCTTCACCAAATCAAAACGAAACCTGTACTTTTCTCTTCTGTCCAGGTCTCTGTTAACCCTGTGATCATTATCCCTTTCCTTTGCATCCAGGGGTTATGGTGTCACGCTGTCTTCTTTTCCCTGCATCCAGTTAACTCTGTTTTCCTCACTACTGTAGCTGCCTGTCTTTGTTGGAAAATAAAAGCAGGTGTCCTGTTTTTTCACTAAAGGTGTTACGCAATAACAATTCTTACCCCGTCTCCTTGAAGCATAACGGTTCCAAAAGGCCAAACTGTAATTGTTAATTTTGTTGATTTTATTTTCCATGTTCTGTGATGATTGTTGCCTCGGCGGGTTCTCCATCATAGGTAAGTCCTGTTCTAAGTCCTCCTGTGGTTTTGTCTCTCTGTTGTTGTTTTGTGCGGTGTTGTTGAAGCACACATTTGGGTGCATCAGATTCGTTAACGGCTGTTGCTTCAACCATAATTGAGGTGTCACCAGTGTGCTGCAGTTAAATAAAAACCACCTTCTCATTCTCAGCTTGAAGTCAGGCTTGTTCTTGGAGTTTGCTAATTAGGCTGTTAAAATGGAGAATGTTTTGGCAGCTTATGCACTGTCCTCTTGGCATCATTAGGTCAGGATGTGCAAGGTGCAAAAGCGGGGGGTTACTCCATCCTCTTATTGCCAACCTTTATCTATGGTCAAAAGCCTTGGGGCAGGAAAAAATGCGATGAGGGTGCAGATATATGGCGATAATTAGTGGGCAGCATTAGAAGCTGTGGTGTCCCGCAGATATTTAGGATATAGTTGGCACTGAGCTTCAAGCATATGGTCAAAAAGTTCTGCGAATAGGTCATAAAAATAGAAACCCTTGGTTCGTGTAAATTTGCCCCCTTTCAAGATCTGGACTGCTGCTACCTTGCAGCATGATCTGCATGTTTTTAGGCCGGGTATAGATTAGTTTGAGCTCTGAAACTCAACAGATCAAAGCTTTTGGGCAGTTTTCTGTCAAGTTCACATTTTTAATAAAATACTGTATTTGTAGCAGTGTCACTCAGTAACATGTGACTTGAGTTGCCTGGGGATTAGTCCTGCTTGTGGCAGCCAGGAAGTGACTTGTTTTAACGTACCTGGATTTTAGAAAAAGTGTAACTTTAATAGGGAAAGAGTTTCCAGCCCACTGGGGCAGGCTTGTTTTTACAGCAGCCAGATGAGGAGTTGAAATAAAATGCACTGACGCTGCTGCTTTTGTGTGTGGGTGTGTGCATGCAGCCTCCATGTGTGTTTGTCTCCCATTAAAGTGTATATCTAAATTTAGGCATACGTGCATGTGGCTCTGTGTTTGTGTGTGCAGGTTTCTGCTTTCTGAGACGAGCTAAAGTGTTCTTTGTGTGCTGCTGTGATTTATGGAGATTCAGAGTTGCAGAGGATTCATTTCCTTGTCCTTCCTTTCCTGTCTCTGCCTCCTGTCGGAGGCTGTAATGAGGACTGAAGTAGCCTTCAGCTCGCAACAGGAACAGTACAGTGTTGAAACTAGCTATTAAGCTGCTTTGATCAATGCCTTCCCACCACACACACACACACACACACACACACACACACACACACACATTGAAACATTGTGAGTGCTTATTGCGTTCTGTTTGTGTTTCGTTTCATTAGTTGTGTCTATGTGTGATATTTGCTTGGTATTCCCGATGCTAGATATCCATATATTTGTGTTGTTGTTTTGAAAGCTTGTAACCAGCATGCACTGCTGAAATGCAAGACAAGTAACAGCATTAAATGTCCAGCATCAGATTAAGCTTGCATGAGTCCCTGTGCATGCATTGGTAGATACGGCTGCGGGTGTGGCGTGCGTGCTCGAGTTATTGCACATACATGAATAAAGTCAGCTTTTTATTTCCAAAAACAGCTGATGGGAAGGTGAGAGCAGGTGATGAGTTTTTGTACTTTATTGTAATCAAAGTCACATGATGAAATCGTGTTATAACCCATGAAAAATGTTTCATGTCATTGGACTGAAGAGTCCGTGTGGCTGTTTGTTTGAGGTGTGCACAACTCAAGTACACTGTCAAACACCAGGGTTCCCAACAGGACACAAACAACATTAAGGACTGCCTTAAAGGGCTTAATGAGTGTGGAGAAAGTATTCCGATTTGTGTTGCACTTCTTGGATGAAATTGTTCAAGTTGTTACCTCCTGGATTTGGCAGCATGGACGCCTCCGATTTACTCAGCAGTATGTAGTGGTGGTTGAGTCTGGAGCATGCATGAGGCCTTAGAAGCATAGCGAAGCATTAGCGAAGACTTGGAGCCAGCAGTGGTCGCTATGGCTCGTCGGATTACGGCAGTCAAGGAGCTTCACACATTGCCTGGTAAAATCCAGAGAGCTGAAGGAGTTTCATGAGGAGGAAGATGTACAGGAGCCTATAGCACCACCTCCTCAGCCAGAGGAACAGGGCTGGCATGCCCAACCTTTGTTCCCTGCGAGGAGCTTGGCTGTGAGGAAAGGAAAGAGTAAGCCCCAGAAACCGCTAAACGCAGCAGCCCAGTCCAGTGAGAGTTTCCTCACGAGTGTCCCCAGAATGAGGTTGACTATCGTAACAGGTTGTCATGTCTTTTATTCAGGCCAGTGCCTCTATATGTGTTTTTGCTGTGGGTGATATGAATGTGGATGTATCAAACAGTAGCTCTAGTAGTGCTTTCGCCTGATAATAGCTACACCCATAGCAGTGAGGCATGGCACACAACATCACTGTACCTGCACAGCTGAGGCCATGACTCTGTAGAGTCTATGAGTATTAGTTATGAGCTTGTTTTTACTGAGCATGTGCCGTCATCTCTAAATTTAGGCAATGTTGCCCTTCCAGCTTATTGCATGGAAAAGTAGACTGGCTGGGTAAGGTTGAGCTACATCCTGGTGCATGTAATGATGTCAGCTGTATAAACCCCAACATGGGGCTGAGTTTTGTTCTTTATATGAAAATATTGTGGAGTCCTTACTTGTGTAAGACTGAAATGTGCTGAACCAGGTTGGAATGAGAGCTTCATGCTGAGGCCAGAAGGTCTTTAAAGCTAGGGCGGAGTCAGGGAGGCATAAATATGTTCCTCTGTTTAAATATGAGAAAAGCACAAATGATAATTTAAGTATATGTTTTAAAAGGAATGAAGACACTGTGAGATCTCAATCCCTGGCAAACAATGGTGAACAAGTTTGTCAATGATTTCTAGAAAGTAATCAAAAGAATGAGTGATGTTACAACATCCACCAGCTAATATTGATGGTGTTAGTGGTTCGGAGGAAATGACTCGAATGTGGCAGAAACATCTCTGCGATCTGTATGACTGTGCCGGCGTCCCGGCTTTGGACAGGGTGAAACTGATAATAAGGAAGATGTTACAGTTTCTTCAGAAGAAATTTATGACGCAAATAGAACATTAAAGACAAAAGGCCACGTGGGATGGATCAGACATCTGCTGAACATTTGGAATTTGCTCAATTCTATCAGCTATGTTAGCACCCAACATAAAAGACAAAGCTGACCAAATAAGCAGCAGGGATAACTATCGGCCCATCTATTATGTTGTTCAAGGCCTTTGAAAGGACTATTTTACGTTTTGTCTTGACCTCTGAAAACCAGTTTGTTTTTAAATCTGTGCCTTTGTGTAAATGTTCTCTTGCTATGGACCCTTGTATGTCTTTAACAAAGTGAACTAACTAACCAACGCTATGGATGTGTTGTTTCCAGTGTGCACACAAAGGCAAAGATTGAGTGCAGCTGGCTATGTCTTCCCTCTTTTTGTAATGAGATCCTTTGTGTGTTCCCAGGGGTGGATCTTTGTCACCAAGAGTGGTATTTAAGTCTTATACCAAAGATACGAAGGCATGTGGAGCACAATAAAGAACGAGGAGAAAGATGTTGTAGGATTACAGAGTAGAGCATGTGGAGTCGGATAAGAACCTGATTTTGGATGAAATCAAGAGCAGAGCAGGGACAGAAACAGGAAAAGAATAAGAAGGCAGAGGAAGAGGAGGTGCCGGGGTACGGTGTACTGTAACCTCAGTGTATTTCTGTTAAAATTATTTTTATATCTTTTAAGAATTTAATGTATTGACTAGCTGTGCCACTAACTCACAAAAACCCGGTTAGCCAAGTATAGCCAGCTTTCCAAGAGTCAAAAAGACATTCTGGGCTCGTACAACCT